CAAACCAGTACAGGAAATACTATATTCACCACTACTGATGGTACTTCTAAGAGAATGTGAAAAATTGAACTCCCTACTCACATATTTTTTGTTTTGGAATTACACATGGCTAATAAGAATATCATAATTCATAATACAATTTAGCATTTTAAGAGGGGGTCTGTAAAATATCAGTTTCTGAATCACTGTTCTTTCCTAAATAAAAAACATTCAAATATGATTTTAAAAACTGAGCTCTTCCAGACTGGTCTAGGAAGAGTGACTTCTCAGAACGCAATTCCTTGGATTTCCCAGCTGCTGTCTCTTTTGTGTTCACTCATTTCATTCTCTTTTTTTTTTTTTGGGGGGGGGGGGGTTGTTGTGATTTTGTGAATCCCCGTCAGAGTTCTCATAAAGTTGTTTTTTTTAAAGGCATTGGTTTGCTGCTCTAAGGCCTAATTTATGTCTATTCCTAATATTAGAGTCCAAAAGTGCCATAGCATAGACAAAATAAAAAAAGGAAAGTTTTCTATGTTTCAGAATTTCAAAAAACTCAAGGGTGGAAATAAAATGTTGCAACTGGTGCCAGCCATTTCCAGAAGAATAATTGAGAAATGTCTTTTGTTATTTGGAGTTTATTTTTGTTTTCTAAAAACAAAAACTTAAAGCAACAAATACTACTCCTAAAATGTTTGCCTTATGAGGATTAATACTGTTATAAAAGTCATGCTGAAAGAATGTTTAAGAAAAGGAGCCACTCCCAGATAAATGGATTTACGAGTGCAGGTTTTGTCCCAAGGCACTTCCTATGATAATTGGCTAAAGTGCTCAATTTATTTATTTTTAGTGCTACGTACTAGAAAAAGCAAAAAGGAAGGCTTGGGATCCCAGAAACATTGCTCTGTGCAACTAGAGCAAAACGAAGTTTGAAATTCGAGTCATAATTTAATTATTATAGTAAGAGTGGATAGCCTGTTACACCATAATCATGTAAATAATGTTTACCTAGATTTAGAATAACCTTTATTATTGGACATTTATATCTATAACTCTAGAAAACGTTCCTAACAAAGACTGAAAAAAGACCCAAGTTTAAAATTTTCAAAATTACTTATTCTAAAATGTGAACTCTCATTATACAAGCATTAAATTAAAATTCTCTCAGACCAACTCTTCAAAGGCTTTTAAAAATGCAATACACAATTGTCTTTTAAGATCTTTCTTCAGATATACATAAAGTTTAGGGGCTGAACATATATACATTATCATTTGAATTTACTTCTCTTCAGTTAAGTTAATTGTAAGCATTGTGTCTTCAGTTAGTTTTTTTTTCTTCAGTATTTTCTCTACAGTCTGTTGATTAAGACCAATTATTTGACTAACTTAGCTACTTTTAAAGTATTTTTAAATTGAATGGTTTTGAAGTAATGTGTTTAATACCTTCTCACAACAATTCTGGTTGTATCTCCAAAGAAATACACCTAACTTTGTTCAATGGTGCATTCATTCAATCAAGTAAGTATCGACAAGACTATACCCTAGTTAGGATTTAAGACTTCCAATGTAACCCCCTCCCCCCATACACACATACACACAATTTTAACATTTGCCTAGATCAGTTGATATGTGGTATTTTGATCTCTCAGAAAGATTTTAAACTTAACCCCTCACAAGGAAACTAAAAAGTACTCTACAACGACTAAAAACAAAGGGGTCCAGCTTTCAGGATTTTTGTTGTTAGCATTTTTGTCAGAACTTTTAGAAAACAACTGTTGGATTTACTGTGCCTTTCAAATTACGGGAACCTCCCATTTCCTACGGGTTGCTATAAATCAAGGCAAAAAATGATCTCATTTATTATGCTGTTCCAGATATATCTGCTACTAGAGTTGGGCCAAGATCCAACATTAAGCTCTCCATACTGCCAAGTCTACCCCACAATGTCTTCATAACGTAGATTTTTAGGATACAGTGCTATAAAGGAAGAGCTGGAAATGCTGATTCTGGCAGAAGGTGTAGAATCAAGAGAAATAATATCTCTGGATCCTGGCCACAACATTTACAAGTAAAAATGAAAACAATCATTTATACAATCAATTTTATGTTAGAAAACTCATCCTCCATATGTGCAAATATTTAAAAATACCACACCTGAAATGTACAAGAACATTTAAGACTACCTTTAAAAGATATCTATTATTTTCATTAAATTCATTAAAATGCCCCATGCCTATTTTAAAAATCTTTTAAGGCTTGGCTTCACCTGATCTAACTCTCCTAACAACAAAGGACTAAAAACTAAAGCATTAACTAAATTTATCACATCCATAGGAATAGAAGTTGTGACTAACAAATTCTATCAATTTCCATGGGTTTATTCTATTTAGTAATATGAGTGAAAAATGTAGAATTAAACGGATGTGAGAGCTGGACCTTAGGCAAGGCTGAGCGAAGGAAGATCGATGCTTTTGAGCTGTGGTGTTGGAGGAAAGTGCTGAGAGTGCCTTGGACTGCGAGAAGATCCAACCAGTCCATCCTCCAGGAAATAAAGCCCGACTGCTCACTGGAGGGAAAGATACTAGAGACAAAGTTGAAGTACTTTGGTCACATCATGAGGAGACAGGAAAGCCTAGAGAAGACAATTATGCTGGGGAAAGTGGAAGGCAAAAGGAAGAGGGGCCGACCAAGGGCAAGATGGATGGATGGCATCCTTGAAGTGACTGGACTTGAGGGAGCTGGGGGTGGTAACGGTCAACAGGGAGCTCTGGCGTGGGCTGGTCCATGAGGTCACGAAGAGTCGGAGACAACTGAACGAATGAACAACAACATACTAAACAAAAACATAAAATTTCCAGGATGTTTTTAAAAAATTAAAAACAACTTTTAAGTAAGACCTCCAACGCCAATTGGCCAAAAAATGATCTTTCTTCTGCCCAAACTACTACTAGTAAAAAACAAAACAAAAAAAAACAATATGTCACTTCATAGATTGTCAGTTCTTTGTAATAGAAAATGACTAATCCTGCCCATGATTTGGGAATGGAGAATTACACCAATTCCTATAATCACAAATATTTGTGAATATATAACTTTAGCCCTTAAACTCATTAAGTCCTAGCTCTTAAAAAGTTTTGGCATATTTCTTGGTTTTGGCTTAAAGGCTCACAATGCAATCCCTACACTGTTACAACTGTTTTCCAAAAAGAAAGAACTGGCGCCCCTTAGTGTTCAAATATTAAAACATTTACCTCATCCACTGAATTTGCATGGAACATTTTTTCAACATTCCAGAAAGTTTTCAGCATATGCAGTTCTTCCACCCAGAAGCCAAAATAAACAGGAAAAGCAAAAAAGATTTAAAGGGGCAGTTGAACTTTCCCTTCAGGCTACCAAGAAAAGAAGAGTGGAAGAAAAAAAAATAAGGATGGAACAAAACCAGATATAACTGTTTTGCTAGATTAACTTCCAATCTTTGTTTTGGACTTTTGAAAATAATACAAGGCCTGTTCATTCAAAGACTTTCAGAGCTTCAAGGGCATTTTAAAGGAGCAATGACCTCACACATTCCATTTAAAATAGCCCTTTGGTACAATAAACACTCCACTCTTTTGATCTTGACAAAGTTGGTCAGTCTTCTTTCCCAAATCAAAGCAATTGTTCAGGAACTTCAAAAATTCATTGTTCATGCCTGTGTTTAATCGATAAAAATTATGTTGTATTGCTTATTTTGTAATTCAGAAAGTATTCAAGAGTTCTTTCAAAGAGATCCCAACTAGCCAGTGTTATCCAAACAGAATGTGGTCTGGAAAAAAAAATCAGTCAAGGGGCACCCCACAACTATTTGGTAAATATGTTTTCAGCGGAAATATGTCATGGGATCAGTCAAGTCTATGAAGAATTCTGTACAGAATTACTCTCTTCCAAAAAAAAATCTAAATACTCAGAATAGGATCAAAACTGAATGTACACAACCACCCACATCTACATGGTAAGACCAAAACTCAATGTGCACAACCTCCCACGTCTACATGATAAGTTCAGCCACAACGCCCTCAAACTGAGGTCTGAATTCCCAAAAAACGATTTGGATTGAAGACTTAAACTCACCCTGGTCCAAGAGAACATAATCACCATGAAGTTTGGAGCTTCCATGTCCAACCTATTTAAACATAAACAACTCCTGAAGCTTGTTAGTAGTACTCCACAAAAGTGGCCTCTTGCAACTAACTCCACAGGGTGGGAGGCAGGCGGTGGGGAATCGGATAGTTGGCTTGGGATGAGCAGTGAGGATTCAGCAACCTTTCTGCGTTAGCTTTTTGGCACCAGAAATCGAGAACTTTCGAGTGAAGAGGCTTCAGTGTAAAAACCGAATGGAGAAGTTCGGTTTGTTTACTCTCAAAAACTTCAACCACTTTTTAGTCCAAACTGCCCGGTAGGGACGAGAACCGAGCCCTTTCCACTTCCTGCCACCCCCTTTTTCTCCCTTCCAAGCCAATCTGAAACCAACCAAACAAAGGACACCCCGAGATCCCTTTCTGGACGTTGCAGAACTCACTCGCTTAACCAACACTGCTGTAAATCACGCCACTCGGCCTACTACTACTACTACTTCTTCGTTGCGTCCTATGTGGAGTCTCAAAACTCTCCCCAAACTATCTCTCCCCTCGGCCTTTTTATAAAAAGGGCTACCTTAAGTCTTTAAAACAAGAGAACCGCGCCGAAGGGCCGAAAAAAGCCTCGCCTTCACTCCCTCCCCCAAAGGCCAAAACTTCTCGCCGAGAGAGAGACTTCCCGCTTCGCCTCTTTGTTTACGGGGAAGGAGGCAAGGCCAAAAAAGAAAGAGAGCGAAGAGGACGCCATTGAAGAAGGGGCCAAAAAGAGGAGGCACATTTTTTTTTCACCGTGTATCCTCAAGGCCTAAGTTTTGTTTTGATCCAAAATAAAGAAAAGAGCGTGGTTAAAATTCGTGTATTATTATTATTATTATTATTATTATTGTGGCGGTGGTTGTTTGTTTTTACCTTCGTCCAGCAGCCTCTCGAGGTGGTTGAATATCCCGCAGAAGTTGGGGAGGCTGCTCATGAGCTTCTTGTCGTTCATGAGCTGCATCAGGTAATCGGGGCTGGGCTTGGGCTTCTCCTTGGTTTCCATTTCCCCCACCATATTCCCAGCGCGGCCGGAGAGCGAGCCGGGCGCCCGCAAGCCACACTCGCACTCGCCAGGCGGGAGAGGCCTCTTCCCCCCTGGAAGAAAAAGGAGGCGGGAGGGGGGAAGGAGGGGAGGGGAGGAGGAGACAATTATGCTGGGGAAAATGGAAGGAAAAAGGAAGAGGGGCTGACAAAGGGCAAGATGGATGGATGGTTTTAGCCTATAGCTGCCCTCAGAATAAAGCATCTTACCGCCCCTAAAATGGCTAAATCTCATGGCTCCTTCCTGTAGGGCTCCTCCCCTACAAGTGCACTTTTATCCCTTTCTCACCTGGGGTTTTAACTTTTTAACATTTCACCTCATACATTTGGCCCGCCCTCTGTGTCTGGTTTTACTATGGTGTTTTATATTGTTGATTTTATTTGTTGTTTCCTATTTTGTTATGATGCATTTTGTTATTGTCTGTTTATTATGTTGTATTATTTTGGGCTCAGCCTCATGTTAGCCATCCCAGTCCCCTTTGGGGAGATGGTGGCGGCTTATAAATAAAGTGTATTATTATTATTATTCTTGAAGTGACTGGCTTGACTCTGAAGGAGCTTGGGGGTGGTGACGGCTGACAGGGAGCTCTGGCGTGGGCTGGTCCATGAGGTCACGAAGAGTCAGAAGCGACTGAACGAATGAACAACAATTTTTATGGTATTTTGACCTTAGCATCCATGGCACAAATATTTGTGGGTTTCATTTTTATTTATTTACTAGCCGCCCCCTGCCACGCGTTGTTGTGGCCCAGTCTGTATATATGTGTGTTTTGTCTGTGTATATGTGTGTGTTTATATATTTGTGTATCTTTATATACGTGTGTGTGTGTTTGCATGTGTGTGTGTATATATAGAGAGAGGTGTATATATGTGTGTGCATATGTATGTGTGAAGATGTGTATATTGTGTGTACATATTTGTGTTTATATGTGTATATGTATATTGTGTATATGTGTGTGCTTGTCTATATGCATATTTGTGTTTATATATGTGTACATGTGTATATTTGTATGTGCATGCGTATGTAGATGTGTGTGTATATGTGTGCTTGAGTATATATATATATACACATGTGTATGTGTGCGTGTGTATATGTACATTTATTTATTTATTTACTTTATTTGTATACCGCTCTTCTCTGCCCTTAGGCGACTCAGAGCGGTTTACAACAGTTTAGATATACACAATACAAAATCATTAGG